TGGTGTCTCTGTATAGTGTCTGTAGGACACTAGGGCCTTGGTCTCTATCCCTGGGGAGAGCAGGAGTTTTCAGGCAGCAGTGCATTTTTCAGGAAATGCTCTGAGGTCAGAGGAATAAAACCAGACTAAATATTTTTTCTCTGCTGGATCACTGAGTCAGTGGTGCAGGTATGATTTTTGTCAGGCACACTGGTGACATACAAGCAGCAGCAAAACCCCACTAATGAGCTTGGTGTAAGATGCTATATTACTCTGCTCCCTCAAATAGCTAGATTAACTGTGTGTTTTCTTATACCCTGGAACATGGTCAATAGCAAACTTGGGAGAGCACTGATTTTTAGTAAAACACTTCAGCAACTTACACAGGCATATTATGGAGCAAGTTCTAAAGTGCTTTTCTGCTGTTTCCCATCCAAGTGATTTTTCACGGTGCATTTGGTGAGGAGTTATTAACTGCAAACAGATTTAAGTTCTGAGGACTCCCTAGATCTAAACCGATGCTTGTCATTCAAATGCCCCAACATGAATCAAGTACAAATGTGAATGTTCACAGCCAGTGCAGTTCATTTGGTAACAAGCATGCATTTAGCATTACACAAAACACAGCCCTCCACCCCTTGACAGTCCTTGCTTGTCCTGGTATTTTGAGGGAGAAGGGGGAGGACATTTATTCTTGATGGTGAACTTTAAAAGTATATTTTCTTTTTAAATGCCAACCTATTCCTTTTCCATGTGTGTTTCAAAAATGTCTCTGACACTTTGGCTCAGTACCTAGGTATTCCAGCTGTTATTCTAAGATGGTGGAAATTAAAGTTCTGTTGACTTCACTGGAGCTTTGCCAGTTTTTCTCAGAGGAAGATTTGATTTCAGAATATTTTGTGGAGCCTAGGTCTGACATATGCACTGCAAGCACTGCGGGTGCTGGGTAGTAACTGTACTGATGCCAGTAGCTGAACTGATTCGGGAAGGGAAATTCCATGGTGTAGCAAGGGTTGCTGTTCTGACCCTTGATCTATGCAAATTAAATATTCAAACTGTCTCTTGCAAAGGTGGAACTGTGTTAAACTGGCCTTTTCTAATGCAGAATGATGTGCTAAAGGATTGGGAGTCTGGCCCTGATTCCAGGCCCCTGATCACTTTGAGCCCAGGAGAGCAGAGGTTTGAACCTTGGTTTACTGAATTTCCTGTTGGTGCCATAGTGTCAGGTCACCATAGCCTGAAAGCATCTCTTTTTCATGTCACTGACCTAAAAAAATACCTTAACTAAGTAAAATTGAATGGCTGCTTTTTTCACAGAGGGGGAGTCAGTGCCCCAAATCTGCCCTGCTTTTTCCAGCTGTATTCTCTTTCCTGTTAAAAGTCACTGCGTCTCCTTCAAAATTTTTATCCTTTAACACCTGTTGTAATACCACAACAAAAAAATATCACCAATTGTTCCAGCAAGCGCAAAGCAAGAACTAATGTAGGTTTCATGTCACAACAACCTGGGCATATAAGTAATGAATCCATTTGTAAGATGTCTGCTGAACTCCATGGACAAGTAGTTCCCAATCCTGAGTATATTTAGTTGTCTCTGTGCATAATCCTGCTGCAGACACTAAAGTTAATGATAAATCTCCTATGCATTTCAGTGTGTGTAGGTTGGGGCCCTTATATATTAAGGGTTTATTATTGCAAATTTGCTGAAAGCACCAAACCCTCACTGCTCCTGTGTGCCTCATTTTCAGTCCTGCAGAGACATTATAATACCGTGTTTATGATAACTGAGTCATTCCCATGACAACAAATGGAGTCAGAAATATAGGATTCTGACCTTCCTGTGTGATCAAACAAAACAGAGAAGCTGGGCAAAAAAGACAAAAGTTCATCAAACACAAATGCCTATAAACTCAGCAAGCAGGTGGGAGAAAAGCAGCAGATAAAGACAAAATATTTCTCCTTCTCTGAAATTCTGCCCCAAGGTAAATGTCCCTCCACAGGTTTTTCTCATGCGAGGATCTGCTATGGTTAGCATGAGTATCTTCCCCTGCTGAAAGCTCCAAGGAGAGCAAACAATAGCTTGTTAATAAAGCTATTTCACATTAATTCTTTCTGGAGGATGAGCTGTGAAAAGCAATACTATTTTACAGGTCCATCCAGTATATCTAAAAGCAAGGCACTTAAATAGCATTTCAATCTCATCCCATTTCTTAGAATTGCATTAGTAGTCTTTGCTATAGAAATCCAGGCAGAGTAAGTGACATGCTCTGAATCAAATGCTATACTGGTAAAAGAATTGGGGTAGAAAAAATGTTAGTGGCTAACTGGCAGTGCGGTCACCACAAGAAACCAGCGACAGACCTGAGTAACCGTAAGGTATCTGCTCCCTGGGCTGTGGCAGGAACAGAGACAAGGCACAACTGGATCAGTCCACATTTCCCACCAGTTCATAGGCACAAAGAGATAATTGGGAAGAGAGGTGTTGCAGCTGGTCTGGCAATTAAATAATAGTTTCAGATTAAAGTAGCTTTCAAAACCAATGCTAAAGGATTGACAGCAGTAAAACAAAAGTTGTAGGTGCTGCTAGGAAGGCTGGTAGTCCTCACAACTGTATCAGTGGGTGATGGACTTCTAATTCCCACTTTGTGCAAACATTTTTGAGACTTCCAGTCATAATGAACCATTGAACAGTCAGTCACAGGATCCTACCCTTTAACAACATCAGTATTAAGACTTACTGTGCTTTAGTGGTATAACAGAGAGCATGGTTTGAATTGTCCTAAGGTAGAGGTAACTCGAATCTAATCTTCCACTGACAGAACTACACGTGATAATTTGTACAAAAAAACTTGCTCATAGCTTCTAGAGCTTGGAAAGAGTCTTTTTTCTTATAGATGGTGTGCTATGATAACTCTATTTGTCATATGGCTGTATATTATGGATGCAGTGAAGAATTAAGAATGAGAAATGGTCAATGAAAACAGAGCTGTCGATGACAGTCCGTTGGTTTACACTGACTGCACCAAGGAGTGGCTGTTTCGTGGCATTACAGAGACAAGCCCAGACTGGTGGAACCAAGAGTTGTGGCTGCTGCCCTCATGTGTAACAGATTTAGTGTTGACTGTAAACAAAGAATCCCTGCAGGATCTTTCAGCCCATAGGCTAATGAAACCCAAGGGAGATAAAGGATATCAGGTCTGGACTCCAGGAGTAGAGAAGGGAAAGTCTCATTAATACAGCTACTTATGCCTGATACTTCAAGAACAGGTCAAAGTAGTAACAGAGGACTCCTGCTAGACAGGTTGGTGAAGCTTTGATTTTGTGGGTAAATGATCGCTGTACCCAGGGAGCTTGCCCAGTGGTGCTCAAAGTCAGTCCCACTTACATCCTGGCATGTACACTTTACCCACTGACAGTTCCAGTGTTGGGGATCTCAGTTTTCATTGGCCTCAATGAGCAAATTACAACCCAGATATTGTGGGCCCGAAATGGTAGAGCAAGCAGGTGTTGCTCTGCTGCCTCTGCATCTGCCTGACACAATAATTAAATGTCATCTGCCATTTGGTATAATGGAAGCAAACCAACTACAACAGAAGGATTTTGCAGCACAACTGTCTCATGATGTGTAACTGCAGCTATATATTTGCCTTCATAATTAATTCTATAAGCATTTATATAGCACTAGAAGGGACTGAGTAATTTAGAAAGCAGTGGAAGAGATCGTTAAAAATAGCAAAAGGCATAATTACTTTTTTCTATCATCAATCTCCTCCTTATCTTCTCTGCTGTTGTTTCCCATGGACTATCCATGGTGGTGCTGTAGTGGGACAAAGGCATTGCCTGCTAAGAGTCCCATAGGGGCCAGAAGCCCTAATTTTGCTGCAGCACTGACATTGCCTGTGTCTTGAACACAACAAATTCACTCCCTTTTGTGGAAAATGTGGGTCTCACTTCAGTGGAATTTTTGTGCTGATATTTGTGATGAAGGCTGGTACCTAATGTTGTGGCTGCATTAAAGGCTGCATTTATGTTCAGAGTTTAATGCCTTGTTTGATGAAATGAATGGGTTATTGAGCTCTCATCTTCAGGATTCCCTTTTTTTTGGGGGGGGGGAAACTCATGTAGTGTAGCTTGTTGTCAGGAGTTACCCAGGAATCTTGCTAGTGGAAATCTCCCTTCTTAATTAAATTTTTCTGAATTCTGTAGCCCCAAATTTGTTATCTCCTGGTCATGCTAATCCACATTAGATTCATGAAATTAATTGAGCTACTCTAGATTTGCACCAGCATAAAGGAAGTGTAATGGGACTTCTTTGTGTGGCCCTCCCATGAGTGCACATCAATAGATGTGACTTTATTGTCTTCTTCACTGTCAGCGTTGTGTTTCTCTCACTATTTTGCATCATATAAAATTTTAAGATAGGCCTAGTAAGGTATAAGAGGTACTGAGTCAGGCTGCACTACAGGGCCTTTTTTCTGACCTCCAGCCCTGTAGATTCCAAAGCCAGGATCCAGAGCATGTTGCAGCTGGGGAGATGATTATGAGCTGGATGAGCTGCCAAAGAAGCTCCTTCCTGCTGACAGAGAGCAGAAGGCTGGCTCCTCTCTTCCAGGCATCAACATTCTCATTTTACAGACTGGAGAATAATTAAAGCAGAACTTCTGTGCTGCATGCTGGCTGGGAAGGAACCAGTCGTCAGCTTAGGCATGAGCATTTGTAACCACCACTTTGTAATTGGAAAATGGACTTGGAAGCAATTGTTTTCTTCTAGAAGGTCAGCAATGTTTTCCTTCTAGAAGACAATGGTTTGCCACAGTAAGTTCCTGAAGATAGTGAATATTCTCCTGAAAAGCATAATTTAACTACCAGCCTCAGCCAGCTTCAGCGTGCCAAGCACCCAGGCTGGATCCTAGGGCAAGGACAAGGGTTGTTCTAACCCTCTACACGACAGTTTGATGTAATTGAAATGGGTGTCCCCAGTACTTAATTTTTCTGAGTTCTCTTTGGTTTGTGTCTTTCAGAAGCGCTCTGGAGGTGTGTGCTCATACCTGCATCGAGTGTGCTGGGCAGCACTACCATTGCAACTCCTCCTCTTGCTCCTCCTGCTCCTGGCCTTCCTCCTGCCACTGGCAGAAGAGACCCACAGCTGCACACTGGCCAACAACTTTGCTCGGTCCTTCAAGCTGATGCTGAGATACGAGGGCCCACCCCCAACCTAACTTCTTGGCGTGACACGAGGTGACTGACAGAAATACAGACTCTTTGTTTTTAACAATTGCAACTATCGTAGATTTTAGGGCTTCTAACAAGGCCGTCATATCAGCTGGATAGGTCACATAGGTGCAACATAAGATTAGTCCAATTTAATAAGGTATTTGAGCAAAATTAATATTTTTACAATATTTTATTATATTTATAATATGTATATAGAGACTGTGTATGTGTATGTATGTACATATATGTATAAATGCATATCTGTGGTCAAACTAACACCCATCATCCATTCATCCACTGTTTTAAGGATATTCCTGCGATGTTTCTGTTTCTGCCATCTTTCAGCAAGCAATACTGAAGGATGGTTTTGTTGTGGGGTTTTATGGGCAATTTTTAAAATTGGATTCTTGTTATTTACAACTGAAGTCAGAGCAAGTATGGGAACATGTGCATGCATCACAGCGCAAACTGGAGAGCAGGCACAGTAGAATCAGGTTTGAATTCAGTGGATGACATTCAGCCCAAGAAAGATTTGGACTATTCTATTTGAAATCTTGAGCTGCTTTTTCAGTATCTGGATACAGGGAGTTCAGAAGCTAATGGAAATATCGCTACTGACTTCAGTTGGAGTGGGGGTGGACCTCCTCTTGTTTTAATTTTTTTTCTTTTCCAATTACTGTGTTCTCCAGCCCACCTGAATCAGGAGAGGTAGAATACAGTAGGAAGAAAGCTGAGAAAAAAGAATATATTTTTTTAGCATCTCTTTAGCAGGGGAACTTTTAAAATCAGGTCATCATTTTCTGAACAAATTTGTGAGCACTGAACAAAACCTCGTATCAGCTATCTTGCATATAAAAAGCAATGGGTTTTTTTCTGTTGTTTGTGGGGTTTTGTGATTTGGTTTGTTGAAGTTTTTTACTTTATAAAGAGGCATTTAATAACGGATCATAAAGCCTGAACAGTGGGATGCAGCCTGGCTCAATGTTAGCAAAGCAAAAGTCAGAAGTACTTTAGTAATACCACCCTGGAAACACGATTCTTTCCTAGGATGCTTTTATATGAATGGTTTATTGAAATGAAGTAAACTGATTGTATCAAAGAGAGTCAAGTATAAATTTCCATATGGTCTAAACTCTAAAATTATGACAACTTGTCATTTATTTACATAACCTTATGCCTGATTTATCAAATTTTTGAATGTACCTTTTAAAATGCCTTTTGATGTAAAAGCAGTTCTTACTTTATTATGATGAAGCCATTCTTAGTGGTGTTTTAACTAGTTGATTCCTGAAAGAAAAAGTAATTTCTAAAAATGTGTGCCATTTTTGAGAACTAACCCTTATTGTCTCATGTTTTTAACCACAGTAGTAATCATGGAAAAAAAAAATTTAACAGCCTCCTTGCTATGTTACAGGAAGAACTTGTCTTCTGAGTATCGGTATGGGGTATTCTGTGTTGTTTTCCAAGCAAGTTCCAAAATAATATAAAAGCTGTTGTGCAGCTAAATTATGTAGTAGCTGAGAGACTGAAGGAGGAAGTCACTTATTTAACAAAACCATTAAAGTTTTACTAAAGAAGCAAACTTGGGTAAAATAGGGAGCTGGAGCAGCAAGGAGCTCATTATAGGCACAGAATGAGGGAGAACAGGCAATGTGAAAGAGGAGCTGCTAAACATAGAGAAGAGAGGTGTGCAACAATTTATAAAGCCTAAGAAAAGGAGTCACAATTAACACAGAGGACAAAAATAAAGGCTCTGTGGAGGAAAAATCTCAGAATCTTTTTTGGTTCCCTCTGCCTGCTACGGTATTGATACTGTTGCATATTAAACAGCTTTTCTTCGGTAGGATTTAAAATGGGGCAAGTAACAGGGACATTACCAGTGTTCTGAGGAGACTCTTCCACCACCAGGACCCTGTCACTGTTCCTAATAATGCCTCTGACTACACTGGGTTTACTAATGTTGGATTAAAATGCCAAAATTCTGCTAAAAATGTAAAGGAGAGTGGAAGTTAAAGGAGATGGAGAAGGTAATCAGTCAGAGCACAAGAACAGAATGAGGAGGAGCTGAACTGATGTGGATTAAAACCTGACTGTCAGGAGATATCAGAAGAGCTCTCAGAGCAGGCAGAGGGGGGCTGGAAGCAGAAAGATGAGGAGAGTGGATGTCTGCTGAGCAATAAGACATTCACATCGGGAAGTAAAGGAGGGCCTATGATTTCTTTCATGATGGAGCCAGGTGTAGAAGAGCTGTAATTTGTCAGAGAATGGGGCAAATTAATTCTTTCTTTGCAACTGTTCTTTCTGGTGGCAGAAGACATACCTCTTCCTCTCCTCTGATTATCTGTGCAAGTGCCATGAACCATTCCTCTAAAAACTGCTGTCAGCCCTGAAGGAAGAAACCCTTGTGGCTGCCCAGCAAGAGGCTAATCATGATACACATCTCCATTTCAAATTAAATCCTCCAGCAGAAAAGAAGTGTAGGGGAAGAGGGGCAGTAACAAAACCAGCTCTGTGTGGTTGTGGATACGTGTAGGTGTGCACACACTTTTTTGTGACGTGGCTACATTGCACTTCTCTGGGTCTTGCTGAGCTGTTCCAGGTGATGAAAGCAAAATACCAGTGAGAAAGTAAAAATAATGAGGAGTAATAAAGCTGCAAGTGGAAATCAGTAGGGAGATAGAAAAGTTTTTTCTATGAAAGCACAAAATCTCGCATCAGGTTTCTTTCTGCCCAGCCTTTCTGATCTGGGTGATTTGTATGGGTTCACAAATGCATTTGACACCACAGGAGTGTGCAACTGGGGGGAAAAATTTCCACACAGAGGATCGTAAGAGAACAACTGCATCACCACCTTGATGTTTCAATGTTGTGACAGGTTAAAAAAAAACCAAAAAACAAAAGTAAATTAGAAACACACTTTTGCTGCTGGGATTGCAATCAATTTATTCTGTAGGTCCCCTGTCTGTAATCTTGGAAATTTTTGCTTTAAATCTCAGTCGATCCATTCTCATTAAATTAAGTAATCTAAATATCTCACATAAGTGATGAATATTTCTACTTCTTTGCCATGAAAACTATCCAAAGCACAGGACTTTAATGTTCATGTCACTGAAAACAATTTAATTCTTCCGTAATGTCATTGACCTTACCTGTCCAAGGCAGGTGTGAGATTTTTCTAAGAAAGAAGTAAAAAACCCCCAAAAAACGCTTGAAATGTAAATGCAAAATTTATTTTCTTTTTTATTCTCTTCTGATTTTTTTTCTGAAAAGTTTGTGATACTGATTCCTGGAAGTGTATGTAAATATTAATCAAGTCAGTAATTGGAATAATGAAAACAAACTGCCCAGTCCAGCTTCCAGGAAACTGTACAAATCTCAGATTCCTCAAAACACAATCTAAATCATACTGTTTCAAAATCAGTCCTGAAAATCTTGAGCACGGTTCTTTATCTTTGCTCACAGATGATTTGGTAGTTATACTCTCACTTTTGAGCCTATAAAATCCCCAGCTCATACATCTCTGACATCCAGTCGTAACTGAGGTGTATTATAGCTCAGGTTCAGACTGGGGCCACTGCCTTAAGACATCCCTTGCCAAAACCTGGGATGCACAAAATAAATAAGCGTCCAAACTGAGGACTTGCACTCCTTTACCCTAATCCAGATCCAACCACTGTTAAAGGGTACTAAAATACTCTAAAATATATCGAATATATTTGAGGTTGTAAATTGTTTATGCACCTGGTTCAGGCCACGTAGCCTGTTCTTCATGAAGATACCCAGTCTGTTCACAGAGCAGACCCCTTACACATCTCTCCCAGCTCTTTTGCCTGCACTGTTGGACCCGGTACTTGATTGACCATATTAATGAACCTTCAGTGTTGAAGGCAAAATCCTGCCCTCCATTGCCCACGCATTACCGTAAGAATTCTGCACAGCCCCAAAGGCACACTTCAAACACAACCTTTGGCAAGAAAGCCAGCCTAATTTGTACATTGTAATTGATTTTCAAGCCAGATGCTTTCAACAGAATTTTCCATGACAGCAATACATTGAGGTAGAAAATTGCTATTGTGCTACATGTCTATTAACAGCCCTTTTTCTAATTCCAGCTAGCAATTTAAGTGGTTTTAAATATTATTTATATATACCCTCTTCAGAAATCTCTGTATGAAAAACATGTTCAGTTCTAAGCACACACATTATAAATGTTGTGTTCCTCTGCTAGCACTGAATCTCCAGAGCAATCATGATTTCTTATTTGTAGTGACTGAGATACTTACAAAACTCAAACATTGGAGTCTGCAAATAAACCTACTAGCCTAACTAATAAAACCATCTAATGATCACTGCATAATTTTAAGTGCTTTCAGAATGGCTTTATGCTTCTCCTTAATCCCTTTTGTTGGAATAGTTGAAGACCTCAGAGAGAAGAAATGTCTCCAAAAATATACATCATTAGATAGATAGATGGTAATCTCTGCACGTCAGAAGAAATAGTATGTTCTCTTTAGCTGCTCTAGGACCTCAGGAGTTTGCTCCATCTGATCTCCTCTTCAATATTAAATAGGGAATGTTTTACTTTGATGTGTGTGCATACACATCTCATTAGCACTAAAGAGATTTGAAGAGTAAGTTCATGGACAAGAATTCTTTTAACTTGTGTCGACAAGAGAGAACATTTCCTCTTTTGTTCAAAAAAAAAATGAAAACTGCTGTGTGACAGAGGTTCCCAGAGCAAACAAAGCTTTTTGAAATAACTGAAGATTACAGACTGAAATTAAATTGTCCACCATAGGAAACTGAAGAAATAGTTTTGCCTTTCAAGAAATTCTGGTGTAACACCCCCAGTAAATATATCTTTGCCAGGCATCATATCTGTCTTTCAAGTCATAGGTTGTGTACCCAGCTGGCTATAAGAACTGCTTTTGGAAACTTTACTATCCATTGGACAGTATCATTTGCTAGTCTGCAGCTGAAAACTTGTGTACCCAACCAACTATATCAGCTTCTTCCAGAGTTGCTGGGGGCTGTCGAGGATATTCTTAGCAATTCTCAGATCATTGACCTGCTCTGAGCCATTACAAGTTTATTGCATTAGTCGATCTGTCAATGTTTGGCAACTCTCAGAAACCCGTTTATTAAAATACCAAAGATAATATTTCTGTTACAGACGACACGATTCATTCAGAGACCACTCTCATTACTTTTGCCATATTTAAAGGAAGATATCTATTGGTTATACTGGAATATAAACAGTTAAGTTGTAGATGTTGGGTAACTGTGTGGCATGTTTTAGACACAAGGCATTCTGACTTGTACATGTCTGTTTAAGAATTGTGGGTTCATGTTGCATTTGTTCCATGGTAAAACAAAACAAACCAAAGATGCTTCAATGTAGCATTTAAAAAAAACCCCAAAACCAAACAACAAAGCAGGATGGAATAATCTGTCATACAGCTGATTTTTTATTATCTCTTGTCTATCCAATTTAAAATATGAATATGTGTCTATAAGAGAGTTATCACTAGATCTGGAAACAAAGGAATATATATCAGGTATATACCAATTCATACAGTAGCCTAACTGGCACCTCTGTTCTCTAACCTGCTTCAGCAACTGCCAGATTTTACCTCATTGTACTGTGAGCTAACCACCCTCCTCCTAGTAAAGCATGGGTAAGATGATACTGCTCAGGTTAAGGTACAGCATCCCAGTGGAAGCAGCAGGAGACATTAGGTCTTCAGAAGGCAGCCTGATATCTTTATGCAAGAGAGGAACTTGTACATTTGGCATAATGAGAGCAGCCCAGGACTAATGACACAGGAACAAGGGCTTGCCATCCTGCTTTGCCAGACAAAATTTTGACAGTGGCCGTCAGCACTATTCAGTTTCATGTCCTTGACTGTGGAAGGAGGCTCCCCTCAGGGTGATTCACTCTAGCTGAGATTTGAGCCCTGGAAGTAGCTTTTTCTTTTCGTTAAATACAGAATAAACTGCTAAATTAAACCCCTCCGTGACAGATTAATGGTAGGTAGTGGGCCCTGATGGTCCAGGAAAAGATACAGGAAATGCTATTGTAGATAAAAAACAAGTCATGATGATCTCTGTTCAATCCTTAGGAGATAGAAATTCATTGTAGAGCTGGAGTGGGAGTTTTTCTGTTCCTTTGCAGGTAAATGTCAGGTGTTGTCTTTAGTCTTCTGAATTTCTTGGGTGAACCTGTTCAGTGCCTTGCTGAATGCTAGTGGTTTTCTGGCTTCAGAGCTGTTTATAACAGTAAGCTCCACTTTCTTCCTATGAGTTGTGTGGAAAAGGTAAACCCTGAATTGGTTTTGAATCAAAAACTTTTGTTTGGGGGGTGGGCATGGTTTGATTTTCCTTCTTTGACCCCTTTGTGTTGAATCTAAGGAAGCAGAAAGACCAGCACTACCCTCTCCAGGCCATACTTTGTCTTTCCTTCTTTTATGAGAGCAGAGGAGGTTTGGGTTTGTCTTCTTCCCAAAGTAAATTATACAAGTCTTTTATGGGTTTTTTTCTATTACAGTTCTTCCACTCCCTAGATCATTCCTCTTATGATTTTAGATCATTTCTCTTAAGTGCTTCCAGTGGCAGTTCTTCTTCAATACCTAGAGCAAAAATCTGGTCTGGTTTCAATGAATTTAATTTCAATAAAATTTTCCCCCATTGCAATTTGTCCTGCAGATGCTCTGCCTGTTTCTGCTGCCCCCTGTGTCAAAACAACCTTCATCACTATCTGAGGAGACTCTGGTCCTGGCCAGCCATCTCTTCCAAGTCTCCTGGCCATGTCCTGCCTTCACCTGCCTTCTGTTTTGGCTCAGGAACTGCCCTTAATATTCACATCTGCAGACAGGAGTGTGAGGGTGTTGCTTAAAAAACAATTAATAAAGAAAGCCTTGCTATTAGCATTGTTCATAGCCTTCCCAGGCCCTTTTCTCCTCTCTAAGCAGGTTTTGATGTGTAATCCAATTACTGAGTGCAGAAAATTGCCCCTCAATCAGTGCAGAGGGCCAGCGCTTCAGTTTCAGCTCTATTACCCTCACATTGTCACTGCCTGTGTACGTGCTCACATGTGCTGCTGGGCCAGGCTGAGTGCTCCAGAGTCTGGGCCCTTAGCTGCCAGGAGTGTTTGAATGTTGTTGCCATACACCCTAAATAAGCCAGGACCCTTTTTTTGAGCTGGGGAAAAAAAAGAAAAAAAAAAAAGAAAACTAAAATGGGCGCTTTTAACAAACTGATTTCACAACTCATTTATCAAACCCTATAGCAAACCATTTATTTTAGCTCCTTTTTCCTCCATCAAAAGCTATATGTTAAAAGGCAGAGGTGAATTTCGAGGGGCTGGGAACTGATGGATGCAGTGCCACCCACCCTCACCAGTGCTTTGCTGGGAGACCTTCCACTAGAATTCAGGGGTAGGAGCTGTTATTTCTCCTGAGGTGAATCCCACCTTCAAAATCAAATTATTTCTTTTGTCAAGTCTGATAAGCATTGAACACCACAGACTTTGTTTCACTACAGGTATGAACGAATGCCTCTGTACGGTACTTTCCATTGCTATGAAGTATATGTATGTATGTATGTATATGTGTATATATATATGTAATGGGGAGCGTAATTATTGTTCCACCTAAAGAAAGGTGACATTCCACTTCAATGTAACTTTCAAGTGCAGCTTTTAAGAGAAACTGTGTCTTAAAGGGAAGCTGAAAGAGTTTAGAGGTATATGTTTTAATGAGCTTTAATAAGCTCTGAGTTTGGGTTTCAGTCTCTAGGGCAAAATGCACCCAAGATGATTTTCCGATCACCTTTCCAGATCACACCCTGTAAGAATTTAACCTGGGAGGCACTCCTTGAGCACTGGCTGTTCCTGAAGGTATTTGGATGTTGCATGTGCTGTGTGTCTGTCCTCAAGTGTCAGCCTCCATTTTGTACATGGGCTTGACTGGGAGGTGAAAGACACACCTTTGTCTTGCTCCAAGACCCTGATAGTAATATTTGCCTCAGCAGATGTTTTCTCTTTGGTCAGTGTAACTCCTTCCATTTTTTTTTAACTTTTAATTTGTGTTAAGTAAGCTTATCAGGTGATTCCAGGAAGGCACACTCCATCTGTCCAGCATCAGAGCTTCCCTTCCAGCAACATACCTTCTTCTCATTTGTTTACTTGACTGTA